AAATTTCGATGCTTCAAATCACCACAGCACATTTATGATATACACAAACTACAATGGTACTGAATCTAGCATTTTCTACTGAATGATCACACTTTATTGCAGTATTAAAACCCAACTTTAGTCTAACCCTTGTCCCCAAATGCTTCGCATTTCAAATGATATCCTAATAAATCATAACATTCCAAAACAAAATCGTTTCTCACATTTGCCTGATGCAAAGAAACGTATATTCTCAATCGCTTCATATTACATAAATTGTTATAGAAAATGAACACCTCCATGCAAATTGATACTAAATTCTTTGTATCACTAGTCGTGGGTACTCATATTGTCTTCTTCAACTAAACTTAGATACAACTTGTCTAAAGAAAAGCCAGACAAAACAAGGGGCATTTGGTTCACTTTTTAAATTCATTGCAAACAATGATTTCTATTAGATTGGGGACCTCAAACAGTCAGTCTACATCTTTCTATACAGTCCAGAAAAACAACTAGAAACTGGTGCCATGTCTCAGTCTGCCCGTCCTGCACCTTCTTCCAACCCAATACCTACCTCACCTAACATTTCATGTCGGGGTGGGGGATAGCTCAGCATGCCCAAAATATGTCTAAGCTAATTTATTTGGCTCAGGTTTAAAACCTCATCGACTGACCTGCCTAGTACCGAACAAACTCAACGTTTCTCACACGCCGATTTTACCATACGTGAGAAATGTTTCGAAGACGCCCGTGGTAAAAAAATCCGTAAACTCTACGTATCTCACCTTAGTGACTACATCCCACAGCCGTATGACAGGACATAGCAAACTGTAGTGAAGTGTGCGTGTCACCTAATAGATAGCCGAATATCTGACCACCGATAGAGATGTAGTAAGTTGGCGAATCCCAAGCAGGTTTCATGTAACCAAAGTGAAATTTCGTCAGCAACCAACCTGTTTGAGCTGATCCGAATCCTTAGATAATTGAATTATATATATATATATATATATATATATATATATATATATATATATAATATATATATATATATATATATATAGTTATTATTATTATTATTTGTCCCTTGGGCTTCAGTAGCACGTCTCCATCCCACTCTGTTCTCTGAAATCTTTTGAACCTGACTCCACAACAGCCCACAAGCTCTCATTTCTCTCTCACAAGATCTCCTCCATGTCACCCTCAGCTGCGATGCCCAACTAGTCGTTCCCCATCTGGGTTCCACTCGAGGGACTGGCCTGACGCGTGATGTCCCAAGTCCGTCTTCTCAGTGTATGCCCAATCCAATCCATCTCCACTTCCTTCCTTGAGCGATAGGTTCTTGGTTGGTTCGTCACCAGCCAGAGTTCCTTGTTACTTATTCTTATTATTCTGGCCATCTGAGCTTCAGTAACGAGCCAGCGTAGGCAGTTATTTATGAATGTCTGTATTTTGTTGGAAATGCCTTTCGTGACGCGCCAAGCCTCTGAACCATACAGAAGCACTGACTTCACCGACATTAGTGTTCAAAATCCGGATCTTGTTCACGCTTTATGCTGAGTGCAGTGCAGTGCAGTAGATCTGTACACTGATTTCAGATTAATGAAGGCCTGTCTTGATGTCTTTCCGATCTTGACTTTGAGATCTTCATTTGTGTTTCCGCCTTCAGTTGAAACGATGCTGCCTAGATAGGTGTAGGTGAAAGAGACTACTTCCTTTAGGTTCCTCCTGTTGATGGTGATTGGTGCTTCTTGTTGAAGTTGTTGTTGGTTGAGTATCTTCATCAATTCTGTCTTCTCTACGTTCACCTGAAGGAAGTCCCAACTTCGCTGCCCCACCTCTTCCGCCAACTTGTTGGTTTTTGCCTATAGATATTCGAGTTTGTGCGACAAGACATTAAACATAAATCATCATCGGCGAAATCCAAATATTCTCCAGTGGTCTTTTCATCGGTCCAGCCAGTGTATGCCCGTCTTCTAACTCGTCACAGTTTGTTGCATGATGCAGTCGAGTCGAGTCGACCACAATCAGGAAGATCATCGGTGATAGGTAGTAGGCAACCTTGTCTTACTCCCATCCTCACTTCAAAGGCATCACTGAGCTTTCCCTTGTGAATCAGATTAGGATGTAGCATCATATACCATATAGTTGTTGAATGAGGTTGATAAAGGTTTTTGGTACTACGTAGTGTTGAAGCAGTTGCCAAATTACTTCTCGGACGACACTATCAAAAGCCTTTTCAAAGCTGATGAAGTTGAGGCAAAGATGCGGTTGAATGCCATTCTATCCTCTGCTCTATGATGATGCGTAGCTTAGCGTTGAAACTCGATCCGCACATGATTTGTACTTCCTGAAGCCAGCCAGCCAGCCTGTTCCGGTCGTAGTTTTGAATCCAGCGCATTGTTTAGTCGCTCCAGGATGATGCGGCTTAATATTTTGCTTGAAGTGGATAGGAGTGGAGCGTGATTCCTTGCCAGTTCTTGCAAAGACTTAGGTCGCCCTTCTTTAAGAGTTTGACAAGGTAGCCCTTCTTACAATCGGCAAATGCCTTTCCTTCCCTTCAGACCTTCTGCAATAGTGGTGTGAGCATGTCCGCTATTATCCCTGCGTCTACTCTCAGTGCTTCTGGAGGAATTCTATCTGGTTCTGCTTTCACGCATTTCAGTAGCCGGGTGACGTCGGTGGGCTTGTGTTCACTTGTAGTTCTGTGGCTCGGCTGCAGGTGGTATTTCTAGACGAAGTGCAGGCGGTGGTCCATTCAGGAGTTTTTTGAAGTGGTCAGCCCATCGTTTCGTTTGTTCCTCTTCTTTGGTAACTAGATTTCCTTCGCCATCTTTTATTGGTTTTATCTGTGTTGATCTCCTCCCTAGTTATTTGATACAATGCTGTCAGGTCTCTCCTACCTGCAGCCTGTTCTACTTCAATTACCAGTGTGTCGTAAAAGTGTCTTTTATCTTTCCGCGCACTCTTCCTCACTTCCTTGTACAGTGTTTTATACGTTGCACACAGTTCTCTATTCGTTGTTTATCCATGCACTGGTTTGCCTTCTGCTTCATCATCTTCCTCTTCTCTATCAGCTTCCATGTGTCCGTCAACATCCATTCCTTATCTTCTTTCTTCTTCCTTCTTAATACAGTTATACAGGTTTCATTCCACATCACTTTCACACAGTTCAGGTGTTCTTCCACACAGGTTTCTTCAGGAGTGTCGGTCAATCTCTACCATCTTGTCATGATGGCTGACGTGAACATGTCCTTTGAAGTTTCGTCCTTCAGTTCAGTTTCTGTTCTGGGTGGTTGTTCAACTTGAACTCTGTTCTATCACCAACTTCTTTGAAGGCTTTCAACTTGATTTCCAAGGTAGGTTCCTTGCACTAGATAGATAGTCAGTGGTGTGAAATCACATCTGCTCCTGCTCGTTATCCGATCTTGTGTCCGTCCAGTAGGCTGCATCTCCACTTTCTTCACATTGAAATGAAGTCAATCTGAGTTTCACTGTGTCTGTTGTCTTGTAAAATCCATGTTGTTGACTTGTGAATATCCTTGTGTTTGTACACACTGCCTCACCTCCAATCACCAAATCGTTGAATGCACAGAATTCTGCAAACAACTCTCCATTCTCACTCACTTCACCGAGTGCTTCTCGACCCATGACGAGTTCTCTTCCTGTGTTGTCCCTCCCAGTTTCGCATTCATGTCACCTCACCCATTAGAATTTTGACGTCGCCAACTGCAGTGAGGTGTTGTCCAGTGTTGATTGAAGTTGTCTGTAGAATTCCTCCTTCTTCTCTTCATCTGAATTATCTGTAGGTGCACAGCGTAGCATTGTACGATTGTGACTCTCCTTCCTTTTGAGTTGAATCTTGTTGTCATGATCCTGATCCCACGGGAGGAGATTGGTTCCCACTACATGAGGGAGAGCTTTCGATGCTGTTGGGGACATCTCGATAGCCAGTCGAAAACTCAGTGTGCTTGTGGTTGTCGTCTTGGTGACAATACCGAAGAAGATTTTTGACTCTCCAGTTGACAGTTTCGAGAGTCCAATTCCATTCCATCTGCTTTCACAGATTCCCGACACTTCTATCCTATACCAACTCCTTTCGTTTGCAATCTGAGCAGCCATGCCAGCCAGCTTCAAACATTGTCTGGGCATTCCATGTGCCCCGGTTTGCTTTCGCTTTCATCGAGAGAAGAGAAGACATATCGACCAATTGACTTTGCGAAGGCTTTCACCAACTGGCGTACTCCAACTCAACTATATGCCATCCTGGAAGTAAGTCAATCTTTTGAGAGTACCCATGGTTGTCCATTAGCGCGTTTTTAACAGAATTAAACAAGAACAATGACAATGATAGTAGGTATCTCTGCCTGACACCTCTAGTTGTCATCACTTCACACGACAACCCTCAATAAACTCAAACACGCTATGTAAGTTCCAGTGGAGATGATGCACGTTCTCGGTATTCGCTTCACTTAGATACTTTCAAACCATTTCTTGATCATTACAATCGAAGTATGGCAGGTACTAACCACTAGTAGGTCGGCCTTCCACAACCTTTCGCAGGGTGAAAATCTGATGGGTGCCTCCCCGTCCATGTCTGGTACGTCTCTAGTTTTGATCAGTTTGTTGTCCTTAAGCTGCAATTAAGCCCTAGATAACTATGGATCCTAAGGTGTTCAGTCATAGCATTACCGAATTGTTTACCTTCATCTGTATGCAACTTCCAGAATATCTTTAGTCATCATGTCTACATTTCTGCACTGTCGAAAATCAGTTACTTTCTTTGAAAAGTGTATTATTTTGTAAGAGTAAGAAAACTGTGAACAGTTACACGTTAAATTCTAAGCAGTTTTAAAAATTTCGAAGGTGAAGCAGGAAATATCGCATCCGTAATGTCTACTTCTACATTGTTTCCTCATGCACCACTTTAATCTTGTTAATTAAATGCTTTTTAATTCTCATGTAATGTTATCATACTCAACATTTTTAAAATATCGGATTTTATTTGCTTTTAATCTTCAAAGAGAAATCAAAAACGCCGTCTCTCTTGTCAATGGAAGAGGAGCAACTTATCAAATCCCTTGAACGCCTAAATAAGCGACTGAACGGTAAGATGTGCATAAAACGACAATTTCTTTTGAAGAAATTAAAATCCCTCCGAAAATATTTAGCATGGGTCGGAATAATTTCCGGCGTTATAGTGTCAGTGGTACTCATCGACAGACTGATTGAAACGAGGTTGCACTGTTCTAGAGAGTAATCTTATGCTAGCTAGTCGGAAGTATCACACAGTGAAAGAGTTACCTGCTACATAGTGTTTAAGGAACAATTTACAGTTTAACTACAGTTTCAAGTACACAGTCAGACCTGAACGTTATGCACAATCACTTCTTTAGACAGTACTCATTAAATAATGCTGTTTTATTATGTGGTACACCTAATAAACAAAGAAATCTGAGACACTTATGTGTCTTGGTTGTATTGTGTTTTCTGAGCTGGTTTGTTCAGTCGTGGAGCTTTCATCGTCTTTCTAGACAACATCATCAGCACTAACTTCGTCAAGAGAGAAGAACGGCTACCCATGAGACTTTATCAGAAGATGCCTATACCATACATCATCAAACTACAAAGTCATCGACAGAAATCAACAAACGTATCATCCTACCGTTCATAAAGAATATATGAGAAATCACTACAAGATTACTGAGACTACTCGGAACTGGTGTGGCTCATAAACTAACAAATTCCCTCCAAACCTTATTATGCAGACCAGAGCATGAGACAACCAAAGAAGACAAACTGAGTATCATTTACGAAACCAACTGCAATAACTGTAGTCAATACTACACTGGACAAAGTGGTGGCCCTCTTCACCTTCGTCGATACGAACACCAATTTGCTATTAAACGTCACGACATTTCATCACTCATTTCAATGCACGTGGATAATCATGGACATGAATTCAGTTTTGACAGTGGATAAATTTTGGACAGAGGAAATACAAAGAATATCAAAGAATCCCTAGAAGCTTGGCATTCAGGTCAGTCAGCAATCAATAGATGTATAGACATAGACCCAATCTACCAACCAATGAGAAAAATGATAAACGACGGAAGGGTAAGAAGTCAAGCAGAGGAACAGCCAACAGGAAAATCTATACAGTCGATGACACAACAATCAAAGGAAACAACCAATCACTCACGGAGAGATATTGACAACTCACTTCATACTGAGGCTAGTGCTGATGATGTCGTCTAGAAAGACGATGGAAGCTCCACGACTGAACAGCCCGGCTCAGAGAACACAATACAACCAAGACCATTAACCTAAGCTACAAATATTCTCCACCTCCCCAATCAGGATAAGATACAATGAGATATCAAGAAAAGGATCACCTGGGGTTTTATATTTCACCTAATTACGGTTTGCATCATTCGGGAAACTGATGAGTACCTGCACAGACTAGTGTGACGATTTCATTTCAGATATGATGGAGAAAGACTCATGTCGTGAGGACAGTGACTATATGAAGAATACTACAAGGAAGGGACAGCACGACGAAGAACAAATATGTTTCCTTTAATTATGGTACTCAATTTCCTTAAACTGTTTACACAAAAACAAAGGAAGACTACATAAGTGGTCCTTATATTCCTGATCCTGAGATTAAACAGGCATTTGGAGCCACTCAACTGTATGGCTTGTAATCGAAAGATGCTTCATTACTTTTAATTTGCTGATTCGTGATGTGGATTGACTTCTGTTAGCTTTTTCTAGTCATTTTCTGCTTAAGAAAGATATACTACTAAGGGCATCATTAGATTTATGCATTACATACGTGTTCACCCCAGCGATAACACGGTTGGAAGGTTGTTTCAGTATCGTGTAGTAATTTCAACCACCCTTTAACACACCACTGAATATCAGTCAACACTGTCAATACGTTCTCAGGGGACAAAACTACCAAACACTGGAGGTATGTATGCCTAAGTTTTGACAAGATAGACGCATTGATGGCACTATAAGTGGCATATGTAAGCATAAACTAGTCTGACCTTTGCTTACGAGGAGCAGTGTTCTCTTAAATCCTTTCCCAGCACCTATGCATCTCTTTAGATACAGTTCACTTCATAAGCTTCTGTCAACATTTTAATAGTACTCTACACTTCAACAATGTAAGTATCGACCATTTACATACTTTAGTTATTAACTTCTCAGGAACAATAAACAACCCTACAGTTCCCAAAAACTTTTGAAAATTCCACTTTCAACTTGTCTACATAATGTGTTCATATATATATATATATATATATATATATATATATATATATATATATATATATATATATATATATAGTTGATCTCAACTCCATACACATTTATGCATTAGGCTATGAACCACACTTGTATGAAGGCCTATGATACTATCCGTCTGACTAGGTCAAATTACGACTGGTAGAGTTCTAACCCGTAACTCATAGCTAAAAGACGAGTTCTTAAACCAATGTATCAGTAGTCGAATTTAGGTAGAATAGACCATAAAAACAACATCTCAGTTATGCGCCAACTCTAGGAACCGTCCTCATCCGAAAAGTCACAACTCATTTCTCTTTTTTACAGAAAGCTCCAGATATATACTGCTGGACAACACCGGTAAATATTACTCATATCGATCAGCAATCCTTTTCAAATTCAGCGTTAAACAAGCAAATGTTTTATTCATTTATGGTCGAACTTAAAATTGAAAGTCTTATGGATTTAGAACTCGATGCTACTTTAATTTTGACCTTCACTAAAATATCAGGCAAAAAGATGCCGATTGTTTGGTTCGCTGTGGTACTTTTGGTAAAAATGTTGTTTGATGCTGAGCTACTTGAATTAATCAGTGCATTTCTTCACTTTATAGCTTCTTTGGTGATTGGTTTTAAGTGAAAAACTTTTGATTCACATCTAGATGTATCAAAAACTAATGTAGGCAATGATCTTCAAAAAACGACGAAGCTCATAACTAACCTAGAAAATCAATATTTTAGTGCCGCAGAAAGATTTAAGTCCTGAAATAAAAACCACTAGCACAATTCCTCATTTCAAGTCCTAGTGAATGTCTCAATACTAATAAGCAATATTTTCAGGCTTTATTTCTTGGGATTAGTACCTATCAGAAAAACAGGAATTTCCAACTAAAACTAATTACAATATTTTATCTTTATATTCTAGACATACTCATTCGCCAGAAAAAATAAACCAATTCAACTTCAACCTGAGTACACTTGTGTGATCATTATCATTGATGGTCAGACGACAAAATAACGGAGTATTGTTGTACAGAAGTCAAAATGCTTTGTATATTTTTCATCTTAGAAACCGTCGAAGTTGTATTATTTTATGTGTACAGTTGATGAATATCTTCATTAGCTACCTTTTTGTGGGATGTAACTATGCTTTATCTTTTTCTGTTATAAAGTAATAAGGAAAATTCTGCCTGAAGTTCATGACCTAAAAACAATTGTGTTTGGAACATATAACTTCAAAATATATGCTACTTTTCAGATAAAAAAAACAATCTTAAGAACAAAAAAAGTCTGCTGCTTATAATACTGCAAAATTTGCAAGTGGTGATACAAAGCGGAGAAAATTAGCCAGATTATACACCAATGCTTCCGTGTGAAAAGGCCACATACCAATGAAAACTTGTACATTTGTTCCAATAGATTAGCGATTAAGAGTTTTTAATAACCATCACATTCTGTTGCACAAGAAATGATCAACCATAGTGTTGTAAAAGGAAAGTGATTTAACGTTTGAAATAACAGGGTTTTTTGTTGAATTTTCGACGGAACTAACAATAGTGACGAAAAAATCATCTGAGAAGTACACTTTTAACTCCACTTCCAGCCACTTCACCATTCACCAACATTATCGAAAAAAAATTTATGAATTAGAAACTAAGTGTAAGCCTTTCTATACTAGTGGGCAACATAACCTAGTGATAACTTCATGTTTATGAGTCATCGACAGAAGTTTCTGGAAGACTGAATGAAACAGTTTGGGATGATTAATAAGAACAAAGCTAAAACTTATTGCATCGTAAATTAATGGCTTTAGAAAAGATTGCCACCAGGTGTAACAGAAGTCACATCACTTTGCTTGTTTTCAACTAAATATAAAATAAAGCCTTCAAACTTCCCTTTAAGGCCGTTTAGAATACCATAAAACAACCGTGGCCATCATGTGCGCATCTAATTGATGGTGCCTAACAATGAACATGATTCCAGAGTGGTATTCATCGCGGGATTACATCAGTTGGAGAAC